CCAATAAGGTACACGTATTTGGCGACGTCTGCTGACACCAGGATTTGGGCTGATAGGGCCCTGTCTTTGGCGAGTACCGGCATTGCAGGAAGAGAGTCTGTCCTGAGTGTCTGTGAATTTCTTCAGGCACAGCACCCTTTACCCAGGAACCTGCAGAAAGAGACCCAGGTCAGAGCTGTGTAGGGACCCAATCTCCCCTCTCACAGGTTGGGAAAGGGGAGAGGGAAGTAATTCTGATGCCCACAACCAGAAGAGCGTTCCCAAATTCTGTCCTCTGGTCACAGAGCCACGCTGCCCCCGGCCCCACTCATTCTTCATTCCTCTCCTTACACCCCCTGCCCTCTTTCCCTCCATGTCACCTGAGGCCAGGAGCAGCAGCACAGGCGGCAGCAGCAGGTGTGGACCCCCGCAGGCCAAAGCCAGCCCAAATCTGTTTCTAACAGTGGAGAGGAGAAAAGGGGGAACCGTCTGAGAAGAGGGAGTCAGACGTTGGGTCGAATTCCGGCCCAGGTTCCCAGTGTCTCTGAGGTGGCACAACTGAGGAAGGTCAATGCCTTGCTGGGGAAATGTTTGGCCTGGGATGGCAGGCTCTGAGGACCAGGGGAGGAGGGGCATCCAGGCCTGGACAGCAGCCACCAGCCATAGGCTCTGTCTCTGGGCCTGGGCACCTCCGTGCTGCCCACGCTGCTCTGCTGCCTTGCGCTGCACTTCTCCCTGTGTCTGCTGCTTTAGGCCTTGCAGCCGGCCATGCTTCTCCTCTGTTGCTGGGGGCAGCTCTCAGCCTGGCCAAGAATAAAGCTGGTGGATTGAGGGGTCATCCCTCTTCCCTTCTCTCTATGCATTTCCTATAGGTGGTCAGGGCCGTTTGAGGCATGACCAGACTCCTGAGTCCTCTGGTCTCAGCCATGGTGGCTCAATGATGAGTTTTGACCCTGGGACATTTTGTGGGGGACAGATATTAATCCCAGGAATTTTAAGATGTTCCCTGGAAATGGTGGGCCCAGGAGACCAGGGAGGTAAGAGAGTGCTGGTCAGGGATACTTGGAGGGGAAGGCAGGCAGCAGTGGATCAGTTATGGGAGCTCGGGATCATTTCGGTCAGCGCTTGTTGGATGAACACATGAGTGGGTGAAGGAATAGTATGCATGTAAAATGTGTAGAGGAAGAAAATGGCCAAAGTGGAGCTATCTAGCAACAAGATCAAGTGGTACTACGTTACTACCCAATGTGGAGAAGAAATCTCTGGGAGTCAGCGCTGGTGTAAGTAACTGGCTGAGTAAAGAGCTGGGGAGAATAGACAGATATCCTGTGTGTAAGGATTCTGCCATATTCAGATTGTTGGTGTTCCCCCATCTCATATATTCAAACTTAGCTTTTATGTGATGGCATGAAGAGGTGAAACGTTGTGGGAATTTCTTAAGTGATGAGGGCTTCACCCTCAAGAATCAGATGAATGCCCTTATGCCAGAGATTGCAGGAAGCTGATTTGTCCTGTCTGCCACATGAGGACAGTGTTCACGCCTTCAGCCAGCTGAGGATGCAGCAAGAAAGTGCCACCTTGGAAGCAGAGAGCTGCCCTCAGCAGATACCAAATTCACTGACACCTTGATCTTTGACTTCCCAGCCTGCAGAACTTTGAGAAAGACATTTCTATTATTTATCAAGTCCCCAGTTAAGGCATCTTCTCATAGCAGCCTTAAAGGACTGAGAGATGGCAAACAACTCTTATGTGTATTCTGTCCTTAAGGGGGGAGCATAAATGCCACTGCTTAAGCCTGGGCTGCACAGATGACTTTCCTCCAGAGGACAGGCTGGGGAAGCCTGAGAAGAATAACTTCACAGAGGAGAAATCTGACACTCACCGTGTCAGCCAGGCAACCAAGGTGCAGACCCACAGAGAGAACTCAGGTCATTAGAATGTGGCATTGACTTGACGTGATGACAAGGGCAATTAGCTGTGTGGTCTGCTTTCCAAAAGCCGCTAGCCCCATGAGGAAAACATCAGACAAATTCCACATGAGCGACATTCTACCAAATACCTGAGCAGTATTCCTCAAAACCGCCAAGACTATCAAAAGTAAGAAATTCTCAGAAACTGCCATGGATAAGAGGAGACTAAGCAGCCATGAAGATGAAAAGCAAAGTGGCATCCTAGGTGGGACCCTGGAGCACACAAAGTACACAGGTAAAAGCCAGGGAAATCCGAATGAAGTAAGGACTTCAATTCACAACATCCACCCCAGAAACAGGAGAATGACTTCAGCAGGGGCGGGGCATTGGATAGACTGGGTAGGTATTGTTGAAGACACACAATTTAAGTTAGGCAGAAAAAATAAGTTCAGACACCTATGATACAGTATGGTGACTGGAGTTCATAACTGTGAATTGCACACTTGAAAATGACAAAAAGAATTTTTTTTTAACATAAATAGAAACTAACTTATTATTTTTTTTCTGGAAGAAGCAGTTACTGAATATTGGGACAGCAACTTTCCTGACAGAGGCTGCTGGGAAAAGATGGAGCTGCACAGAGGAAGAGTTGGGTCGAAGAGGAAGCACTGATGTCCCTCCAGGGTGGCTGCCCTTTGGTCTCCTTCCAACCCCTGGGCCATAGACCCTGGTCCTCCCCCAGAGAATGGCCTGGCACCCACTGCTTCCTGAGCCACCTCAGCCTATTTCTACACACAAGATCCTGAGACCAGCCAAGTCCCATATGATTCAGCATGTGGTCACAAGTCTCATTGTGCCTGACACCCCAACTGCCTGCCAGGGATCCCCTGGAAGAGGGCCCATCCTAGAAGGTCCCACTGGTTGCTGGCCCACCTCTCTTTGTGGCCAACACATCCTCCCTGCTCAGGTCAAGCCTGGTTTCCTCCCAGTCTAGTCACCCAGGGCAGGGCCTGGGGGTACCACTCCAGCCACAGGCCTGACCCAGGAATGGAGCCAGAGGCAGGTCACACCTAGAGCCTGCTGGGGCAGCCCCCAGACCTGTCTTCACTGGGCTCCTTCCTGGATCTTGACTAGGGTGCTGGTGGCTGAACCAATGTGTTCAGGGACAGAGCTGGTGTGGGAGGGACGGGCAGGGCGGGGCTCCCAGCCTCCTGCTGCGTTGGCCATGCTCTGGCTCTGGGAGCAGCAGGTCCTCCAGGCCTGTATGAGGATGTCTCCCCACCCTGGTGGATGGACAGCCTCAACTGATTCCTTCAGGCAGGCCCTCTGGCTCTCTAGGCGCATCTCAGTGCCTGCTGTGGTGGGCAGGGCGACAGAAGCCCAGAAAGTGGCAGCCGGCCTGCTCCAGCTTCCAGTGGAACATCTCCAGCACTTTGTGGCACTCCCTTCTGTGCCGTGGACCCAGCCCGAAGGCCTGTTCCACCTTCAGATACTGGGCAGCCCTCTGCATGCTCCAGCCATGGCTCTGCAGGGCTATCTGGCACTCGTCTGTGGTCACCCTATGCACCATGGCCTGCAGCATCTGAATCTTGTCTGCTGGCTGACCCATCTCTGGCCCATCCCCAGGGCAGCCCTTCTGTAGTACAAAGCAGTGGCCCTCAGGGCTGGGCGCCGGGTCCCTGGGTTGCTGTTGGTGGTGAAGAAGTTGGCCTTGGGGTTTGAGGCAGTCTCAGGTATCAGTCGAATGGTGGCAGTGGGGGCAATGGGGGCAGTGGGGGCCAAGGTGCTGGATGGGGGCAGCAGCAGGGTCACAGGCAGGGAATGCCAGTTTCTCAGGGCTCTGGGTCTCATGCAGACAGCACTGGTGGCGCTCAGATAGGGCAGTCGCTCAGGCAGCAGGTAATAGTGGGTGCTGCTGACCTTCTTGCCATCCCAGATGATGGGCAGCATGCATGGACTGGCCCATGGACCAGGTGCCTGGATCACCTGGGTAGTGGTGTACTTGGGGTCTGAGGCAAAGCTTTGGGTGGTGAGAGTAGATTTTAAGTGTTCTCACCACAAAAAAATTAAGCATTTGTGGTAACGCTTGATTTAGCTGTTTCGCCATTAATGCACACATCAAACCGTCATACCGTGCATGATAAATACATGAGTTCTATTCATCAGTTTTGTAAAATCATAATAGTAATGTATCAATATTGGTTCATTAATTGTGAGAACCGTAGGATACTAGTGAACTATGTTAATAATAGAAAATGTTGGGCATAGGGCATCAGGGAACTGTGCAATACCTACACAGCTCTTCTGTCAATCTGAAAGCACTCTAAGTGTAAAAGATTAATATGTACAGAAACGATTTACACACAGCATAATTAATGATCACTTGATACATATCAAACAGCAAAGTTTGAAGAAATCTTAGTGTGGGTGGGTGTAAAGCACAGTGACTGCAGCTAGTGAAGGGATTCGATCATCCCATCTCCACTTGCCACTCCGCACAGTGGCCATGGATATGACCCCGGGGGTGTGGATGTCACAGGGCTGGTTTTTCCCTGGTATTACAACAGCGAGCTCTCGCTAAGTGTGTTCAGTCTTCACAGTGTCTTGTTGAGATAAAGGGATTGCCTCAACACCCTAAAATGGGCGGGAATTCCGGTCTTCTGAACACCCACTTGTCCCTGGTCCTGCTGTGGAATGGAGCCCCCAGGAGCCCCAGGAAGAAGGTCAACAAGAGACAGGAGGAGGTGAGAACTTGGAGTTTCTGAGGAAGAGGACCAGGGGGCTGGGAGCCCATCCTGTCACTAGGGATGAGGAGGATACTCAGGTAAGAGGGGACAAAAGGAGGAGGGGTCTCCAGCTACTTCCTGCCCGTGACCTCGTGCTCTTACCACTGACTCACCTAGCAGCTCAACTAGTCTGTCTACCTGGACTTCTCAGCTCAGGAAAAGGCCTCTGCCTGCATTAAGGTCCCGTGTTTATACCATCTCTAGCTTCCTATGTGTCTAGACACCGTGGCCCCAACACTGCCTGCCATGCAGGTCCTGCCCCAGACTGCACTGGTGCTTGGCCACCTTCCCAGTAACCTAACCTCACTTGAGTGGGGTCACATGGCAGCCCCTCTTGCTGAAGCTAACGTAGATGACTCCAGCCTGCACACGCGCATGCCCATAAGCACTTAGTGGCTGGCTGCACGCTATGTCTCCTGGTCGTGTGCTGTGTCCTGCTGCTACCCTACTGCGGACACTCTTCCTCTCCAGCTGAGCTGAGTTTCATGTGGGCCAGGCCAGATTCTCTCCTTGTCTTCCAGAGCCCTGCCTTGCTCATCCCTGTGGTGTTGTCCCCGCATATTTGTTGGTCTCATGTGGAAGGGGCCACAGAGCACATCTCCAGTCTCCTTCTTTTTTCACTCTGGAGTTTGAGCTGGAGAGTGCCTCAGGAACATGCCCAAGATTTCATAGCAAATGTCACAGCTGCTCTGGGCACTTGAACCTGGTCCCCAAAACACATACCCCAAACAAATACCCACTGCTGAGCTGCCCCATCCACCATGACCTCAGGCAGTATGTCCTGAAGGCTTCCAAAATATTCTATCCCAAAATATGTCACTTTGGCATAAGGATGATTTCGAGCTGAAGACATTGTGAACCAGCAGATCCAGGCAAAATTCTCTGCCCTCCCATGTCTGCCTTTAAACAGAGCATAAAATTACCTTTTTGGCTGTGTCCCCTATTTCTGGAGTAGAACAGCACTCATAAAAGATGGAGAGTTGACACTGAGAGGAATTTGCATAAACTCTTACTAAAATAATCTGTGTTTTCCATTCATTCCCCCATAGATTTCCTAGTTGCTTCCAAGGATATATTGCCCCTTGCAGCCCAAATCCCCTTTCCAGTGGTAAAATGTTCTATGAACCCCTGGTTCTGTTTGAGTGGTTTTTTTTTTCCTGTGAACTCCCATGTGCATAAATCTTAATAAAAATTGTATGATTTTCCTTCTATTGATCTGTCTTTTGTTAGTTTCATTCACAGCCTCTCAGATGAAGATCTGCGGGGGATGTGTCAGAGTGGTACGAAAATCTATAGGGAAAGGACACAAACCTTCTGAAAGGTCAGAAGGTTCTGCAGAGCCCTGGACTTTAGATCCCAAAGTCGTCTGTGCAGCCCAGGCTTAAGCAGTGGCCTTTATGCTCCCCTCTTGAGGACAGAATACACGTTAGAGTTGTTTGCCGTCTCTCTCAGTCCTTTAAGGCTGCTATGAGAAGATGCCTTAGACTGGGGACTTGATAAATAATAGAAATGTCTTTCTCAAAGTTCTGCAGGCTGGGAAGTCAAAGATCAAGGTGTCAGTGAATTTGGTATCTGCTGAGGGCAGCTTCTGCTTCCAAGGTGGCACTTTCTTGCTGCATCCTCAGTTGGCTGAGGGCGTGAACACTGTCCTCATGTGGCAGACAGGGCAAATAGGCTTCCTGCAATCTCTGGTATAAGGGCATTCATCTGATTCTTGAGGGTGAAGCCCTCATCACTTAAGAAATTCCCACAATGTTTCACCTCTTCACGCCATCACATAAAAGCTAAGTTTGAATATATGAGATGGGGGAACACCAACAATCTGAATATGGCAAAATCCTTACA